CGCTCTTCCAGTATTAGATGAGGAAGGTTCACTCTTTGCAAAACAAATATGCACTCGAGGATTGCCAAATAGTTTTCCCTGAAGTGTTTCTTTCGCCTTACAAGCTGCTGCTAGACTCCGAAACTGAACAAATGCGTAACTACGACCTGGAAATATGGTGATCTTCTCTATTTCTCCAAATGGGGAAAAGGCCTTTCTCAAGATTGCCTCGTCCACTCTCAACATGGCCGGAAATCCAATCCACAGTACCTCACTGGGTTCTGCTGCATCTCTGTCAGCCATCATCGATTTGCTGTAAGATTCGGGACTTTCATAGTGCATTCTGGAGTCCTTTTGGATAAAAGACGATCCTCTTGTCGCAGAGCGATGTTCCTCCCGGCGAAACTGATCTTCAGTGCGTGATGCAGTTGACGACTTATCCTGCGGTAAACAATGTCACAAAGATAAAGTATTAACTGACTCCCGACTTTGCACGATCGGTAATAAAGATCATAGATTAGGTAGAACACCCATTTTGACAAACCTCGGATGTTTATGCCATTCAACTAAGCAATTGAGTCTAATAGGAAAAACAAGCATTTGTGACAGCATCATATAAAAGTTTTATAGTAGCTAAAGGAGAACAGATACTTGGCTAAAACGCCTGTACATGGAGATTTTTCCTTCATCACAAGCAATAGGAAAACAGATGTAAAATAAAATGCTGGACCCAAAATACAACCGTCACCTGTTAACTGAAATCATGAAACATAACATGAAAGGTCTAACATCAGAGAGATGGTCCAAATAAGCGGAACATCCATAGCAAAAGCTTTCACAATATTGAAGACAAACTGATAGAAACACGATAAACCACATTTAAAGGTGGCTATGGCATTTGTAAGGCGATGCAAAATCAAATCCATCATCTGTGCAACTGCAGTAACCAAGAAACTAGTAATCAAACTATCCAGTGTCACCACCACCCCATGATTTGCAAAATCGACATTCGTAGTTTGAGATATGAGAGATGCCCCAGCTAGAATGGCCTTTAAATAGCCCACCAGCCAAGAAACATCATTCAGCAGCCAAGTCACTGCTTCTTCTTCTTAGACTAAGACAAATTGCCAACTCCATAACTTACTGCATATAGAAAAAAAAAACAAGTCTTTGTTCCATAATCGAATAAACAGTCCAAGAAACTACCTAAAAAACGAACGAGCATCCTCTGAACAGCAAGCATTCCATATCTAGACAAGCAAAAGCTGCAGATGTCGAATACTACTCTTTAGCCAGAGATCATGTCTGATCATTTCCAAGCAAAGAGAACTAAGACTTTGGTTTTTGGGATGTCAGTTTGTAACTTTTGCATAGGCCGGCCGGTAACAACAATGTACCAAGAAAGAAGTTCCAAACATAATACAAAAGGAGATTCTAGTTTCGTAGTTTCTTTGCTGCTCGATACTAGAAAACATCAAGAAATTTAATGGATGTAAGGTTCTTTGCACATCTATGGAACTACGCCATTATGATCAATTCTATCATCTTAAAGCAAGGCTGGAATTGACAAATGAAGAAACTGTGACATTGATTAATAATTTCCATAAGCTTATATCAGCTGGCAACCAGTTTAAAGCAGTAGTCTATTTGGCATTGGCAAGTTGAATAGGACCCATAGGCACCTCATGCAACATGGAGATGAAGAAAACTTCAATGTTATTAACCCTTGAAACTGTGATAGGTGTTTGAGAAACTCTGCTTGCTAATTAATAGTTTGAGAATCCAGAAATAAGATGATTCTATCATCTTTAGCTAATTGAATTTGTAATGTATGAGTGGAAGGTAGGAAAACAAGTTTTTCCAGTACAACACATTGATGATGTTGTGGTTCATTTCTTAGCTACAGAGAGGGTAGCTAAAGTCATGCAAAAGCACAATTGAATCAAGTTAATAAGGGCAATGCCAATAATACAGAACTGTTAAATTGAATGAATAACCCTTGCATGAATGAGGTATTAACCAGATATTTTAAGTGGAGATTTCATTGCTTTCAGATTCAGTCAAAAGTGGATATTCCCCTCTTTCCTTACAACACATGTCAGATGTTCCTGGAATGCACTTGACAAAGCTTGTTTGAGATTGCCTCCCAACAAAAGAATAAAGAAGCTCCAACCTCAGCTCAGGATCTACCAGGTTATTATCAAGTTCAAGTTGTTTTTTGAAAAGAAAACAATCTCCTAACTAAATAATGCTGAAAATATCACAATCGAATTGGATGCTTGTGATATGGAGATATATAGTGGATCTACTATTACTTGGTGATGAAAGATGGTCCAGATGCAATTTACAGGTAGCATCAATCTATGTTTTTCCATGTATGGTGGCATTTTTCATCCTGTAATAGCTGAACTCGAAACAATTGCTGCTATGATACAATGTGAAAAAAACATCTCATTGTAATGATCCTGATTCAAGACTGCAGAGAGCAGCAGACCTAAAAGAGGGAAAAGCAAATTAAAGCCAAATGCTTTCTTTGTTTCCCTCAATACCCACATCTTCAGACTTAAGAGTTGTCACAATTACCACCAGCTTTTACCAGAGGATTCAGAGCTTCCTGCTACTGAATGAGAGAATTGTTAAAGCAGATATGAGATTGAGACCTTATTTTCTCAAGGGTTTGGTTTTACTCTTAAACAAGCATCAATCCAAAGCAATGGCAAGTTTTGGACTTATCGTATGGGCCGATATTTAACAGCTCAAAAATTGCAGACTGAGTTTATTCTACCTAATGAGCTTCTGTTTTCTGGTAAACTAACTGATAACTTTCAAGCATTTCCTATAAAGTCATGAACAAAGGCTCCCCCTTTTGTCCCCATTTGGAAGATTGGTATGCTATAATGCCTTCAAGTTGGAGACTTTGTCAGCTAATTGAATCTTCTTCCCTAACAAATACCCTTACCTCTCGTGATCAATCCGTTAACCAACAGTGAGATCGAATTCAACAGGACAAGAACAAGAGTACAGACACGAATCACATTCAAATCCAAGCAATGAAAACTCAGTGACACTACCATTTCAGCATAGCAACGAACACTGGAAATAAGGATTTCAACACTAACCGCCTTGGCAAACTCGATCCTAAGCGGGTTGCCGGCGAGAGGGAACCCCTGAAGCGAGTCGATGGCGGCAAACGCGTCCTCGTCGTGTTTGAAGTTGACGAACGCGTAGCTCCGGTTAAGCTGAAACGCCACGCTCTCGAGCTCTCCGAACCGGAGAAACCTGTCGGTGAACTCTCGTTCCGATATTCCATGGGGAAGGTTCCCCACAAAGAGATGCCGCGACGGCGGATTCCCTCCGCCGCCGCTGCCGATTCCCCTACCCTTCTCTTCCCGTCTCATCCTCTCCCTCCCTCCTCCGCCGCTGCCTCCGCCTCCGCCTCTATAAGACTGAAATTAATACCGGAAGAAAACAAGATCAACACAAGCGTATCTACGTCTCTGAGAAGTCGAAGAGCGAGAACAAGCAGAGGAATCGACCATGGCGGATTCGGAATTTCTGACCCCGAAATCCAATCTGAAGAGGAAACACTATCGAGATTGAATGCGATTATCGAATGCAAATAGAGAAATTCCAAATCGAGTAGCGTCGTTCTTTAATGCCATGAGAGATTTTTCTCGGGGGCTGCGAAATTTTTGGATTTCGGGATCGTGATTTCTGCCTTCTTTCTATCGAAATGGAATTTTCACAGAATCCCCAAGAGTTTGTCCTAGTTATCAAATCAATCCCAAAGTTTGTTTATGTTCGATTTGAACCCAAATAAATCGAGAAACTACGCAAGTACGTATTTAAAGGCATCGTCTTGCAAAAAAAAAAAAAGGCCCACTTCGAACGAACTTGATTCTTGAACCAAGCAAAACCTCTCTGAGAAATCTTTGAAGACGGAAATCGAAAAACGCGAAGGAGAGAAGAACTCGGGTTGTGTCTCTTGTCCGAAACCATGACTGGAACGCGGAGGAAAACTCTTGTGCGTAGGGCTAGAATCCAAAACTCACCCCAAACCTCTGATTCGGCGGTAAGTTTCCTGCGTTCTTCTGTTTGTTTTCCTGAGAAATTATCGTTATAAAGGCGTCGAATTTGTGATGCCCATGTGAGAAATTCACAATCTTTTGGCGAATCGGGAGTGTTTCCTCGATCCTGAACTGGTTCTTCATCGATTTTGAACTCAGGGCGACGTTAATGGAGGCTCCGGTTTCCAGGGAGATAAAGGGACACGTGGCAAGAGCCCTGAAGCCCATGAGAAAGATAACGATGGAGGAGATGGTCTCATAGAAAAGAGCCCAATTTTGGGGGACAATGAAGCTGGTGATATTGTAGATGGGTTAAAGTCTGATGCTTGCATTGTGTGTGATGGAGAAGACAATAAAGTGTTGTTGTGTCATGAAACTGTCTGTCCTGTGTCAATTCATCGTAGATGTCTGCCCGATGAACCCAATTTCGATGAACTCGGGAACTTTTACTGCCCATATTGTTGGTATAAGCGACTAGTTGTGAAGTCTTTGAGGTTGCAAGAGAAGGTTATGGAGGCTGAGAAGTGCCTAAAGGCTAGAGAGAATTCAGTAGGTGTAGATATGGCTGTAACGATGGATAGAAATGACGAACCCGGGTATGCAATCAAGGTAAATATATCATTGGATAGGATGAAGAGCCTTAACCCTTGTGAGAATAGAAGGGAAGATGGTGAATTAGATCATGGATGTGTTGAATTACAGAAAAACCAGCAGAATGAAACAGTTGCTGCTGAAACCCATGACCAGGAAGTATCTGATAATGAGGACAGAGCGCAAGGGCAGGATTCCGATGTGGTTGAGGGAAGAAAACGGCGCAGAAAATCTAGTGATCCGTATGGAAATCAATCTCATAGGGAGGAAGAGGAGAATGCAGAAAGAGAACCCGGGGCTGATCCGGGAAAAGATGATGAGGTCATGAATGAGCAAGATAACGGTTTCGGGAAGGATGGGGAAGCAAAGCCGGACATTGAACCATCTATTTCATCGCCTGTATCTACAAATGCTGATAACGAATCTGATACATCTAATCAAGAGTTTGCTCTGGTCATGAGACCCAAGGTTAATGTTCGAGAACAACCAACTGAAGCACGGCCTTCTTCTTCGAAGAAACCGTTGTTTGAATCCAAAAAACTCTCAAGAGGAAACAAACGTTACCAAGAGAAGAGAGCAACTGAGTATCATGTTCCCAAACAAAGGTTCACTTTCATGTGGTATCGCTTGCTGTTAATATGAAGACAGTACAATGGTTGCTTACTGTCCAATTACTGAGAAAACAAAACCAGCCTAAATTTTTTCCTCCCCTTCAATTTGCAGGAAGGATGATACAAACTATGGGAGGAAGCGTAAGCCGCTGTATTGGACACCCGAAGAGGAAGAAACGCTTCGGGTATGAACTCGTGCATTTCATGTCCTTTTTCTTTTCCATCCATTGCCTTGTGTTGTATTTCGATTTCTTTGAGAATGCAATCTTCCTTCTCATTCTGAAACTTGGATCATGCTGACTGGTAATCAAGAACTTACATCTAATGCTCTAATGGATTTAAGCTTCCATTGTAATGAGGCTATCTCCAAGACTTGGCTCGGGATAACCGAACAGAGCAGTGTTTTTAGGTTAAGACTCATTTGTTCATGGGTCCTGCTTTAAAACTAAAGTGTAGAACCGAGCTTGTGGTGAATGTCTCTGCAGCAGATAGGCTAAACCGAGTTTCGTGAATCGCTCGATGACAAAAATGTCTTTGCCGTGCAGGTTGCTGTGGACAAAGTCTCGAGAGCAGCAAACAGGAACATGCCCTGGCGCAAAGTTTTGGAATTTGGTCGGGATAAGTTTCAGGAAGGACGGATTCCATCCGACCTCAAGGAGAAGTGGAAGAAGATGAACAAAATGTGATAAGGTGCCAAGGAAAATGGGTAGATCTTGAATTTTCAAGTTGCTAAGCTAAGACACTTTGCTGTTTGGTTCTGTATCTTTAGCATTGTTAGTAGTCTGTTTCCCAGGTTCTGTCTCTGCTCCGTAGATGTAAGAAATGTTTACATATATAGGAAAAGACCGGTTACTTTGTGGTTTAAGCCCTTTCGAATATAGAGAATAGATTAAGATTTTATTCCATCGGCCATGGAAAGAGAAGGTCGTGGGAAGGAAGAACTAGATGCTAAGACATTAAGTGTGATAGGGAAATCGTCTTGTCTCTTAGATAACGGTTCCGCTCGGAATGAGAGCATCCTTGATCACTGTCACAATCCCGCTCTTGATGAAGTATCCATCTGTCTCCCTTGCTGCCTCTTGCACATTGTCGGTGTTGATGATCTGAAACACAGAGATCAGTGATGGGTTTAGTCCCAATGAACTTGATATGTCTTGTCCTAAAGTTTCTTTGTATCTGCAGATTATGAGGAGAAAACTGTAACCTTCACATTGTCCCCGATACGGGCATTCTTGTCGATGATTGCTCTTTTGATGTGGGAATCTCGGCCGATACCAATCGGAACACTGCCCTTGGCAGCGAGGAATCTCCTGTCAGCATCCGTCTGAAGCAGACAATGGAAATCACAGATGATTGGTATGAGAAAGAGAAACATCAGAGTGATCTCTCTGGAGTGTGTGAATAAGCAATTCTCGGGTGCTGTTTTCATACCTCGTAGTAGTCTGCACCCATTAACAAGGTGTCTTCTATGATTGCACCCTCCGATATGCAAGAACGGAGACCGATCACTGAATGGTGGATTTTACAGTTCTGGAGGTAACACGATGGGGAAGACCATGTAAGTAGAGGGGAAGTATAGGGTTATGACTATAGCTGCTGCCATGGGAGAAGCATACCTTGATAACGCAACCTTCACCGATCACACTGTCTGTAACATCAGCATCGAGCATTTTGGACGGAGGTAAATAACGAGGCTGTGTGTAGATTGGAGCTGAACGATCATAGAAGCTGCAAAGAAAGGAGGTCAATAGCTGGTCAGTTAACGTCTTTCACGCCAGAAAATGGCCATGCAATCTCAACTAGAGGTAGGTCAGTGCCTGAAATCCGGTATTGGTTTCTTGGTGATTCCTAGATTTGCATTGTAAAACGCCTCGATTGTCCCGATATCTTCCCAGTACCCATCATACAGATAAGCTTGCACCTGCAGAGATCAAGAAATGAGACTGGAAACCGCTGTTATCTGCCTCATGGCAGATCAAACTTTTAGACACTGAAACATCAAACCAAGAAAAGGGCAAGAAATGAAAGGAATGCCCATTTCGGAATGGAAGGATTGGCCCGGCAACTTACTCTCAAACCCAAAGAGGTGGCTCCAGGAATGACTTCACTGCCAAAATCATTAGCTCCAGGGAATTTCTCACGAAGCAAGTCCAGCATGACATGTTTGCTGACAACGTATATACCCATACTAGCAATGTAAGGCATTTCCTTCGCTCTCTCGTCATCAAGACCCAAGATTGTAGTGTCAACCTAAATACAGAGGCAGAAACTGGTGACGTTATTGTCATGAACTTCTACCGTAAGAACTTTGTTCCAAGTCATATAACATTACCTTCATAGCCTTCAGTTGCTCTCCTTTGGGTTTCTCTGCGAATTCGATTATACGTCCTTCTTCATCGATCTTCATCAGCCCGAAGGCAGTTGCTCGTTTCTCGTCCATAGGAAGAGCAGCTACAGTGATATCGGCATCAGTTTCTCTATGAGCTTGGATGAATCTCTCGTAATCCATCCGGTACAAATGGTCACCGGCAAGAACCAGAAACTCCAACACATTGTGTTCCTCGAACAACCATAAGTACTGTCTCACTGCATCGGCCGTGCCCTGACAAATTCACACAAGCAAAACATCTAAGCGACACACACTTTCATGGACAATGATGTTTCCAGCTCTGTAAATTTGAGAAATTGGCGCAATTTAAGTGGCAAGAACAAGAGCAATGATTCTCTTAACCTGAAACCAATTTGGGTTTTCTGGGCTTTGCTGAGCGGCGAGAACTTCGACGAACCCTTCGTTCTTGTATCCGCCCATGTTGCTCGCGTAAGCGCGTGAGAGATGGCGATTCAGAGATGCGGAATTGAACTGCGTAAGAACATAGATCTTTGAAATGTTGCTGTTCAAGCAATTGCTCACCGGAATATCGATCAGACGGTAATTCGCCCCGAGAGGAACAGCGGGTTTCGCCCTCTTCTTCGTCAGAGGGTAGAGTCGCGTCCCTGCTCCTCCTCCAAGGATGATTCCAAGCACACTCTGCCATTGAATCAATCAAAATCTAAGTCGAACACTTCACAAAGGAAGATCCAGAAAAAACTCCGAAACGCAAACATCCAAATAATGTTGGAATCATCCGCTATTTCGCGGATTGAACAGAGATTTACGAAGATTAGAAACCATGATTTACCCTGCTAGCATCAGGATCGAGGCACGTCTGCGAGTTCTGAGAATCGGAGACAGCTTTAGGGGAAACGATCGTTGGAGTCCTCTTTCCGCAGCTATTGGTCTCTGTACGTCCACTGGAAACCATGATTTCCGGCGAGGCGAGCTTCTCGCCGGCGAGAGAAGACGATGAGAACGAGAGATTCCTACGGCACCCTGCTCTCCTGTTCAGGTTCGAAGAAAAAGAGGAAGTGGAAGAAGCGGGGATTTTCAAAGCCCCAATCGCTGCCATTGTCGCCATTGTTGTCGAAGGCGAAGGTGGAAGAGGAAGCAATGAGTTTTTTTTTTTCACTCCGTTCTCTGATACTACAATGGGGATCTTATACTCACATGAGTTTACCATTCTACCCCTGAATTTGTTTGAAATTACGGGGATGAACACTGTGGTATGGTCGGGGTTTCGCGTTGTAGCGGGGGACAAAGATGTCCATGCATGTGATCTGTCATGTTTTTTGGCGGCGAAAAAATCTAGATGAATAAAATTAATTAATTAAAAAGAGAGAGAAACATTAAAAAAATCGGTGATTGGTGGATGAGAGAGAAGATGTAAAATGAACGGTGGATTCTCGAAAATCACAGTCAAGCATTCTGGACCGTTTATTTTATTTTTAAATTCAAAGCGGAATAATGATTTTCCTATTTATTTTTTCACGTACGTTAATAATGGTTACAAAAATAAATTTATTATACGGAAGGGAATATGAAAAACAATCAATAGCTAAATGATTACATCGCAAATTTACTAGTAATTGATAGCGACGTATATATTAATTAATTACTGATGGTACCTTATATATTTTGTAACTTTTTTTATTTATATATTTTGTAACCTTTTGTTAGTATACGTAAAAAACAATAACTTAATTGCACACATGTTTGGAAATTGGGATGTATCATATATAAATATAAAAATGTTTTATTTGGATATTATTACGCCATCTATATTTTTTTTTTGAATAAGAATATATATATATATATATATAGTTGGATGAAGAATAACACGGACGAGCCCACTTCATGTGTCACGGGCACATTTAAAGAACTAGACGACTAACAAACATTTTAACCCCCCCCCCCTTTTTCCAATGGAGGGTTTCCTCGATCCTGAACTGGTTCTTCATCGATTTTGAACTCAGGGCGACGTTAATGGAGGCTCCGGTTTCCAGGGAGATAAAGGGACACGTGGCAAGAGCCCTGAAGCCCATGAGAAAGATAACGATGGAGGAGATGGTCTCATAGAAAAGAGCCCAATTTTGGGGGACAATGAAGCTGGTGATATTGTAGATGGGTTAAAGTCTGATGCTTGCATTGTGTGTGATGGAGAAGACAATAAAGTGTTGTTGTGTCATGAAACTGTCTGTCCTGTGTCAATTCATCGTAGATGTCTGCCCGATGAACCCAATTTCGATGAACTCGGGAACTTTTACTGCCCATATTGTTGGTATAAGCGACTAGTTGTGAAGTCTTTGAGGTTGCAAGTCATAATAATTGATAAAAAATGATAAAAAAATCATATATAACCTTAATTAAAAGTTGAAATATATATATATATATATATAATTTTTATTTTTTATTCGGTTTGGTTCGATTCAATATATATTCGATTTTTTCGTTTTTAAATAAATCACAATCATTTAATTTTTTTTTATATTTGATTTGATTATGTTACAATTACATGTGTTATTCAATTCGAATCGATTCATTTGCTCGATTTTAACCGAAAAAACGGGAGATTTGTTTCGAGCTGTACCCGAAAGACGGTGGAAGAGGTTCAAGATAATACTTGATTCATATATTAGACCGCAAATCTTGCAGTGAAAAAAATCCTCAATGAATTACAAAATGAATTGTCTTCATGTTTCAACTAGAGTGGACGTTTCGGTATTCGAATTCGAATTCGGTTCGAAAATCATTAAACCACCTAATTTTGGGTTAAAAATCATAATATCGCATTTGGAATTTCTTTAGGAATTCAATCGAACCTCCCGTTAGAACCTCTCATACGCACCAATAGCTTATATGGTCAAACGAACGGTAACTATTATTTACGTATTTTATATGCACAAAAAGATTATCGGTAATTCTCTATACATTGGGGTGCTTTTTGATTTTACAAATAAAAAAGGGGAAAAAGTGTGATTTTTCTCTTTCTTTGGGGTTTAATGAGCAAAACAAATCTGATCGAAAATCTAAATCTAAGAACTAACAGAAAAAGACAACTGGCGGTGAGGAAAACCCAACTGGATATGGCAAAAAAAAAAAACAAATCTTTTTGTTTCTGTTTTTTTTTTCTATTCGATAAGGTTTTGTTCCCTTCAACGTTCCTGCGAGTCCGTTGGGCATTTTTCATGGAGTTCTCTCCTCCTCTGGCAATCAATCGATTCAACCATCTCAACCATTTCCCAAGCGAAATCTTCCTCCAGATTCCTTCCCCAAATCCAAAAATCCCACCTTTTGTTCTTCCTCCCCTCTTTTCCTCCTCCTTCGACCTTCATAACCCTCTCAGATCTCCCCGATCACGCCTCTGACAGGTCCTCGACAGCCCTGAAGGCCAAACACGAAGAGGGTATCGAGCGATTTCATTTCAGATAAGAAGAGGGTTTTGTTTAGGAGCAGGGAGATTTGCTGTCGGAAAAGAGAATCATGTCGTTTAGGTCACAATCGGTGGGAAGCCAATTCGCCGAGAAGCTGACGGAGGATCCAGTGACGTATAAAACAGCTCAGAGCACCGTCACCTGCATCTACCAGACCCATATCGCCGGTTTCTGGAGGAACGTAACGATCCTATGGTCGAAGAATCTGATGAACCATTCGCTGACCGTGATGGTCACCAGCGTAGAAGGTGATATGGATTACTGTTGCAAGGTTGATCTCAAGCCTTGGCATTTCTGGAACAAGAAAGGGTACAAGTCATTCGAGGTCGAGGGCAATCCCGTCGAGGTTTATTGGGATTTCAGGTCGGCCAAATTCGCAGGTTGTCCCGAGCCAAGTTCGGATTTTTACGTGGCTTTGGTCTCGGACGAGGAGGTTGTCCTCTTGCTCGGTGACTGCAAGAAGAAGGCCTTCAAGAGAACAAAGTCCAGGCCAGCGTTGGTTGATGCTGCCTTGTTCTACAAGAAAGAGAACGTTTTCGGGAAGAAGAGTTTCTCAACGAGGGCTAAGTTCCATGACCGGAAGAAAGAGCACGAGATCGTGGTGGAAAGCTCTGCCTCGGGTCCGAAAGAGCCAGAGATGTGGATTAGCATAGATGGGATTGTGTTGGTTCAGGTTAAAAACCTGCAATGGAAATTCCGTGGGAACCAGACAGTGTTGGTAGACAAGCAACCAATTCAGGTTTTCTGGGACGTGTTTGATTGGTTGTTCAGTTCCCCCGGGACGGGACACGGGCTGTTCATATTCAAACCCGGAGCAGTCGAAGAGAGTGACCATGAGGGAAGCGGCCACGGTACCGGTAACGACAGTGATGCAAGCAACGGAAGCAGGTATTACTCGGCGAAAAGCAGCGTTTGGCCTCCCGAATTCTGCTTGTTTCTTTATGCCTGGAAACTCGAGTAGTGAAAAAACCCGATGAAAAAAATCGATTGCTCGGTTTTCTTCATTTGTATTCTTTCTTCCCCCCTTTTGTTGTTGTACAATGCACAATGTTTCCATACACACACCATTTTCATGGCCGGATGGTGCCAATGATAATGGCACAGAATGTTGTATTGCTCATAAGCACCTGGTCAGTTCACCTGACACTAATATTTAGTGCAGCCTCTTCACTGAAATCAATCAGATGAAACAGGCTATGTTTCTGATCAATCTTGACTCTGTTTGCTATCATTTGTGAAAGAACCTTTCAACCCATCTGAGAGATGAATCCATGGGATCATTTCCTCACTCAAAACTCGTGAAAGTTGGGATCTTTCAGAGGATAAAACAGGCTACTGGGTCACCGTCATTAAGAAATGTGAAATGCCTTTCAGAAGGCAATTGGGTCACTGTCATTAAGACATCAAAAGTGAAACAGATGCTTGTTCCCATGATGTAGGAGCTTAGCTTCGTCCAAATTCATACAAAAGCAAACTCTTTCGGCAACAATGGAAACCTTATGATCTTGTAAGAATCGGATCATTAACTAGTAATAGCCGATAAAGGGGAAAAAGATTGAAGCTTTGTCTTAGTCTGTCACCTAAATTTGAAAGATCATGAGCTCCATTTGGATCTTTGCTTGGAAATGAAGCACAAAGAAAACAATTATATGAAAAATCTGTACTTTGAAGAAGCCGAGTGATGTTTTGTCTTTCTTTATTCCATTTGTGTTGAGATTGTTCAGATGAAAATTATGGGGTTAAAATGTAACTATGTAAAGCTATGGGTCTTGTATGGAATATCCGAGAAATTAAGGACCGGTAGCTTCAAATGTGTGCATTTTCCCGCACAATTTATGTTTAGTATTTCCAATTTCAAACCCTAAGCGTTTGAAAAGCTCTCCCAAATCGTCATTTCTCATGGCGTCCAAAGATCATGAAGATCCGATCAACATCACTAACGGGACGGAAGAGGAGAGGAGACCGTCGAGTTCCGACGGAAACGGCTCCGGAAAGTGAGCTTCGCCGACCGGGAAATTACCTCCGTCCACTTTTTCAGCCGGGACGAAGATTATGAGACGCCGCCGAATTCCTCCCCCTCAAAGCAGCGAAACGGCGAGCAAGGTTCACCGTCTTCTGGAGACGGTGATTCCGATGACGAGGTTGTTGTCGGGAAGCTGTTCTCAAGGCCCAAAGGTTCGCCGTCTTCTGGAGGTAGCACAGTGGATTCTGCCATTACCGCTGACGGTACACTATGACTGCTTCTTATTCTTCTTCTTTTTTTCCCTATTTGGTTGTCTGTATATTTTTACATGCTTATTTGCGTTTATTTTCGACTAACATCTGTAATTGCTATGGGAAATGTCTTCAAAGAATCGGGCTCTGTTGCTCTCTGTTGACATTGCCGTGCCAGAGTTTTGCTTCTATGATTCTTTCTTACATGTTTTTGTGTCCGTGATGAAAGAATGTTGAGTTGAAGTCACATGTTTTATTGCTTGTAGATGATAACTTTTTCGGCCCTGTGTCTGCCCATTTTATCAGACCAGGAAGATTGTCTGACTCTGCTGCCTCTGAAGAAAACCGTGATGTTACAATGGACTCAACAGCATTTTCTATGCATTTCAAAAGCCTCGTAATGTCAGAGCCAGGAGATACAAAGACTCCTACAATCAGTGGGACGGCTTTCGAAGAAAAAACACCTATTCAGTCTACCCCTAGTTCTGAGATGGGTGGTGTCATGACGTTAATGAAAGCTAAGAAGCTTTTCCCAAAATCTCCTCTACCTGTCGACAAAGTGAGTGGGGGTAGAGATTCTAATGACATGAGTCTTGTGGGTGACAAGAAACAGCTACAGAAAGAGGATTGACAGAATCTGTTTCCTTATCAGAGGAGATTACATTTGATTTTAGAAAGAAAAGTCCAAAATCCATCATCCCTGCAAAGTTTGTGTCATCCGCAGAAATAGATCAAATGTGAAAGCGACACCATCAACAAATAATGGTAATCTTGATTGCTCGCATCAGGACAGTGGAGCTATCAGCAAATGTGGCACATGGGGTGGAAATTAACTGAAAAATGTACGAGTGGCGATTATACGATTGTAGCATCTGACAAAGTGCATCCCTTGCTTGTTGAAGCCGGCTCAAGAGTTACGGAGACCATCCCCAATTGAAAAGGAAAACCAAAAATGTCCAAAGGAGCCTGGAGGTCCAGAAAAGCACACAGCATGTCCTCCAACCAGCGTTAGACTATCCTGATGGAAATACTGGTGCTAACTGCCGTACAGGGTGTGAAAAGATAGTCAACTGGAGAGAAGTAAGTGTACCATTCATCTGTTGGCATTTTCTTTTTCCACTCTTTATAGAAGAATCAGGTTTCTCGCTGTTAAACCTATGTTTGAATTGCTGATCTGTTACTATACTCATTATCCTGCAGATTCCAGGGAAAGTGTCATTAGGAATCAATCAATTGTTTGCTCCATTGGCAGACAAGCTGAATCCAAGATTGGTATAAAGAATTTATCTCCGTGCTTACTAAAGAGAATGTTATTTGAATCTTCAAATTAGTCCAGGAAATTTTAGAATAATAAGAAATGTTATACAGTTAAAGGAAAAAAAAGGTTTTACCTCTTTTTGGCTATTTTAGATTCAGCGTTCATGTTACCAAGGTGTAGATATGCAAGCTGGAAGATATCCTAGCACACTTGAAGAATGTCCATCTATGTGAGATGCTTTGTTTTCAAATCCAGTCTCAGGTCTGACTAAATAACATAACACTTTTTGCTTATCATTTCTCCTACAACTAGTAGCTACATAGCTGATGTGTTGATATTTTCCTAATTGCAGATAGTATACGGCGTGTTGAGTGTTGTTTAGACTAAGAGGTTTTTCTATTCATCATGCATTTATGTTTTTTTATCAAACTAAATTAGCATTGAGGTTGTAGAAGTAACTATGAGTACTATTGCAGACTTGCTGAGAGTAGGTCAATCCTCTGTAAAATAGCATATGAAGAGGCCAAACTTCAGCTGCAGTACCTAAGGCAAGAGACACTGCATGTAAGTTTTTTCTGTTCTTCTTTTACTACTGGTCGTTCTTTTTTACTTCTTGCTTGATCTGTTTCACCTGCCCTTCAGAAAAAGGACCGAGTAGTGACCTCTGGAATCCGTGCATCGGAAATTTTGGAATCGGAATGTTTGAATATTTTACATCAATATGGTGAAGGACTTGATCGAGCAACCAGTGGTTGTCATTCTATTGGCTCGGCGAATCTTGAACCAGCTCGTGAGGTCAGTATTCAGCTCTGAATACAATTACAGTCTATGTACATTGGTCATCTGAAACTGGAGTGGCTTAACTCTTTCCCCTCTCGAATTAGTTTTTGATAAGTGATGCGTCGCGAACTAGGTTCGGATTTATCTAGTTTTAATTTCCTAGACACGACTTCCGCAAGCATACGGATCAGTTATAGTACCTAGGGTCGAACTCTGGGGACTCGTCGGGAATCACCGGAACACAAATAAACACCCTCACTAGCTATGCGGTTTGGATTTTCTACTCAGTTTCAGTCGGTGGCGATAATGTGGTGGTGGTGACACTAAATCCTAATGCAGGAAACGTAAAGGGTGGATATATATATATGGAAGATAGATATCATGGGTCTGAGAATTCTAGGTTGTATAAGAATTATTTTTACGGGTTACTTATCATTTCACTGGCTTGGTTTGGAAAATTCAAGGTCATTTATCGAAGATTACCCTCTCGGGTCTCACCTCTCTTCTTAGACGCCTACAATCTACCGATCTCTCGATTCCTAATAGATTGAAGATTCTAAAAGCATGGAGATTCCTATCATAATTTCTAGACAATTCTTTTATTTTCCAATAATGATAATCATCTATATGTCACCTTTTGTAGATGATATCTCTATTTTCTGATAAAAGTTTTGTCTATCCGGGTAAATAGTTTCCAGGTTTAATTTCATATCACTATGTAAATTAAACCCTAAAATCATACAATTCAAGTGATCAGCAAGAATTGATGCATTAAGAATCATTCACTCAAACCAAATATCAAACCAGTAATAATCAAAATACCCACGCATAAATAAATTCTTAATACAAATTTAAATTCAAAACCTCCTGACGGGAGTTCAACACACAAACACAACCAGAGAGAATAACAAGATATCGCACGGAAAAATCCCAGAGAAAGAATAGATAGAGAGAGTTAGAGAGGCTTAGGAATTATGGGCAGCGTGGTCTTCCTCCTCATCTCCTTCTTCTCCTCTGGAACCTCCGTGGGCGCGGCTGGGGCCGGCCCTGCCGCTCCTCTCTTGGGTGAAGCTCTCTGTCGATGGCCGTCGAAGCTCCCCCTGCTCTATTCTCTGCTTCTCCCTTTGCCGATAAGGTCGGAGCTTCAAATAAACCCTGTCACCCACTTGAAACTTAACATCTCTACGAGAATTATCCGCATAAAGCTTCATCCTCTGCTGTGCTTTATGTAAATTCAGTTTAATGCTCTCCAACATCGCATCTCTCTCTCGTAAAGCAGACTCCAGTTCGAAATTCACCGTAGACCCCTCCACAAAGCGAACCAAAGTAGGTGGATCCCTCCCATACACCACCTTAAATGGCGTCGTTTGCAAAGAAGAGTGAAAAGTGGTATTATACCAAAATTCAGCCCAATCCAAAAACTTAAGCCACTGTCGAGGATGATCACTCACATAACAGCGTAAATACGTCTCCAAACACCGATTCACAACCTCCGTTTGTCCATCGCTTTGAGGGTGAAATGCAGTACTGTACCTCAATTTCGTCCCCGCCAACCGAAACGTTTCCGACCAAAAGTGACTTAAGAATATACGATCTCGATCCGAAACGATCGATTTAGGGAACCCATGCAACCTGACAATATCTTTCACAAATGCCCGAGCCACCTCTAAAGCTGAAAAAGGATGGCGAAGCGCTAAAAAATGCGCATATTTGCTCAACCGATCGACAACAACCAGAATCACATTGCAACCTGAAGATTTCGGCAACCCCTCAATGAAATCTAAAGAAATATCTTCCCAAACCTGCTGAGGAACAGGTAAAGGTTGCAATAACCCAGCAGGAGCCAACGTGGAGTATTTGTGCACTTGACAAACAGGACAACGAGCCACGTAATGTTGGATCTCCGATTTCATCCCAGGCCAATACACAATCGCCTGAATCCGCTTCAAAGTGCGAAGAAAACCAGAGTGTCCACCCAATTTCCCATCATGAAGCTCATGTAACAATAGAGGAATCAATCGTGATGTCTTGGAAAGAACCACACGATCTCGGTATAGCAACGTGCCTTCTCGCAGTGTAAAAGCACCAACTACCTCAGCAGATTCTGACCAAACAAAAGCATCTTTCTTTAATAAATCTGTCAAAGGCTTCGCAATCGAACCGTAATGTCGTACAAATCTTCGATAATATCCTGTCAACCCGAGAAATCCCCGTAACTCCTTAACATTCCTCGGAGTTGGCCAATTTTTCACCGCCACTGTCTTACTGGGGTCAGTAGCGACGCCCTCTTCCGAAATCACATGTCCCAAATACTCAACGTGATTCTTACCAAACAAACATTTCTTTTGGTTAGCATATAGTTGATGCTGCTGCATTACATGCAAGACCGCAGCTAAATGTTCCAGATGATCCGACATCGAAGAGCTGTACACCAGAATATCATCAAAGAAAACAAGGACGAAGCGCCTTAAGAATGGACGGAAAACATCGTTCATGAGAGCTTGAAAAGTCGCCGGGGCATTGGTTAATCCAAACGGCATCACAAGAAATTCGTAGTGACCGTCATGCGTACGAAACGCAGTCTTAGGAATATCTGCCTCCTTCATACGAATTTGGTGATATCCCGCTCGCAAGTCCAGTTTCGAAAACACTGCCGCTCCATTCAATTCATCTAACAACTGATCAATGACTGGAATAGGGAATTTGTCCGATATCGTCGCCCGATTCAAAGCTCGATAGTCAACGCAAAAACGCCAACTTCCATCCTTTTTTTTTACCAACAGCACCGGACTCGAATACGGACTTTGGCTTGGTTGAATGATGCCAGCCTTTAACATGCTCCGAACCAACTTTTCAATTTCCTCTTTGTGCGCGTGAGGATACCTATATGGACGAACACTGATGGGACTAGTATTCTGTTGTAAGAGGATACCATGCCCATGGCCCCTTATTGGAGGAAGACCCTCTGGTTCCCGAAACACTCCTCGAAAAGAATCCAACAACCCTTGCAATCCCTCTGGTAGTGATTTCTCCTCAACAATCCCCACTTCCACAGAACCAAATCCCACCAAAAATCCTTGATCTCCTTCTCGTATTGTTTTGAGAAGAGTCTTAAAAGCCACTAGAGATTGATGTAAATTCGGATCTCCCACCAACCTGATCATTTTATCATCAACGGAAAATTTCATTTCGAGCTTGGCAAAATCAAATTGAACTTTGCCCAAAGTTTGTAACCATTGAATTCCCAAAATCACATCAGCTCCGCCCAATTCCAATGGTATAAAATCTGATACCAAAGAGTATTCTGGAAATGTCAACTCCAACCCACAACATATACCCGCACTTTGTACTGTCAAACCATTACCCAAACAAACTCCATATCCCACCGTACCAGCCAATTTGATAGGTAACACTCCCAATAATTCCTTAGATAAGAAATTATGAGAAGCGCCGCTATCTATTAGCACCACCACCGACTGATTCCCAATCCATCCCCTCACCTTCATCGTTTTCGGTGATGTTAATCCCACCATCGAATGCAGAGTCAGAGCTGCAAAATCCCCCACTACCGGTGATAATTCCTCAAAACATTCCTGAAATTCACCGTCAACGTCCGTATCTTCTGTCACCATCAGAACCTGCAGCTCCTTTTGCTTACATCGATGACCAACAAAGTATCGCTCATCACATCTAAAACATAATCCCTTTCTACGACGATCCTCCACCTCAGGATCCGAAAGTTTCCTGAACGGCAGACGTCGATCTCCTGTCACAGCCTTATTGGAACTGTCTACCACCGAGGCGATAGACTCTCCCTTCTTCTCAACAGAACCTCCCAATGCAGAAGAAATAGAGCGAAACGAATTTGAATTCGAATTCGAATTATATCGAGGAAAACGATTCTCCTTACCATGCGATTTGCCTCCTGAACAAATTGAACGCCCCTCTAACCTCAACGCCAGTTCAATTGTCTTGTCCAAGGTCTGAGGTTTTAAGACTTCGACCATTTCACGGATCTCCGTCTGCAAACCACCTCGGAACGCACTTTCGACTACCTCCTCAGAAACATTTGAGACCTGCGCCCACAGATCCTCAAATTGTTGCAAATAAACCATCAACGTACCAGTTTGCCGAATCGACAATAAGCGATCAATCGCCGAACCAACCTGAGCTTCGCCGAACCGAATTGTGATTCGCTGCTTCAAATCCGACCAGCCACGAAAAGGTTTGTGTCGTTGCTGCAAGGAAAACCACTGCAACGCCTGTCCTTCCAAGCTAATCGTCGCATAACGCATCTTATCTTCCTCAGAACTCCCGCCAAAATTGAAATAATTCTCAGCACGAGCAATCCAACCCAACACATTAGTACCATCACACACAGGCATCTCAACCTGTCTAACCTGGAAATCTCCCACCAGATTTTCACGATCCTTCCTGGCATCAGACTCCGTCAAATCGACAGCTGGATTTTGCTGAAGAATTGGATCATCCTTCTGCTCCTTCGGAAAAACCGCCGGAATTGGAGCATCATTTTGATCCGATAACTCTTTTTCCCGCTCTTCCTTTTTCCCGCTCTTCCCGACGTCGCATCCTAGCACAGAGGTCGGCCAACAACTCCTCAACCGCACCGATCTTGGAAACTTGCTTCTCAACCACCGCCATGCTTGCTTCCAATCTGCCAATCGAAGATTGATTACCAGAAACAGCATCCTCCAAGTGCTCCAAACGAACGGTATGAGATTTTGTCATTCTTTCTTTTTTTTTTGAATTTTAGTCCCGCTCTGATACCAAATATGATAAGATTTTCCCTCCAAAATACCACTTATATTTCCCAAACACAACTTGGATAGGCTTGATTAATGAGAGGCCCCCAACTCTCCCCACAATCCACTCCCCAATATTTCTGATATCCCCCAGACAATCCCCCTCCTGTATTATTTATAGTAGAATATAGCGCTATAGCCATCTGACGTGGCAATATTAAAATGGAAATACAACTATAATCTGTTACAGCAACAGATCCTTCCCCAATTCCTTCCTCAAACGTCTTCTCCTTCACGAAGCTCGTCATTCTTCAGCCAAATCTTCCTCTGCTTGTTCCTCACATATGCCTTGAAAGGCTTACCACACGTACCCACGGATTTTAAGGCTTTGTCATTGTGTTTCCAGAGTGCTGCAACCTTAAATCAGGTGAAGCTGTTTCATTTGGTGACTGATTAGAGCAACACCAGCTTGGTGTAAATGTGGCATGGCATTGCCTTATGCCTCTCTCCAACATGTAAGGATGTTCTAGTTCAATTCAGTTTAGAATGTAACGAATTTTGTGTTGGTATCTGTAAGGCTTCTTCATCTTGGCCAGACTCAATCTGATGGCAAATTTTCCTTCCTAGAAATGTTTTGCTGTCATAATTTGCAGGCGAAATCTCTAGCCCATACAATATCAAAATTTCTCATTATCTCTCTTTCTGAGCATCTCGGAGATTTCGTAAGGATGCGGAAAGATAGAGACGTCTGTCATGTCTCCCCGGTGAGGTACACTTCTTCAACTACAAGTAAAATGTGCAAAACCAGTTTTAGAAGATGGGCGTATAAATAGAATATATAAGATGTATTTTTTACCCAAAAAAATATTTAAGATGTATTTCTCAATAGGTTTGTGGGCGCATGTATTTCTCACTCTATCTCTTATCGGCTCTTAACTTCATTAAAACTTTCATTCTTGCTTCCATAAATTCTTTTTGTGTGTAGTCAATGAGGATGTTGATTGGGAAATAATCTACTTGCACCTGCATTTCTGCGATTCAACGGCCTCAAAATCATGCCACTCTTATCATTTGCATTAGAAAATCCACTGACACGTTTCATAGCCCGGTTTTGTTTGAGTTAGGAAAATGGTACAACTCAAGATACAGGTTATGATTGTTCACATCCCTTTATATTTTTACTAAGAATATCTGCATCAGCCATTTTGAAATCCTCTCTTCTTGTACCAGAACCAAGAGTTTGAGAGACGTGGGCACTTCAAGATCCCCAAGCTCTTGCCTCTTCAATTGTGGTTGGAATCTATTCCCCTAAGGATAGTCCAAGCACAGCATATAGTTTCATAAAACACGGAGTTGCCGGTCTTGACACTGAAGCTTCAGACCTCAGAGTGAAGTTACTTTCACAAAGTCCGGTTGAGTTGGAGCATCTAATAAATAATGCGGTTGAGAGGTCAGTTTCACAGATCCTTATCCCCTCTTTTTCTTATCCTTTTTGCATGAAGATGCCTGGTTTTGATTGCATAGACACTGTTAGATTTGATGAATGTGATATATCTATGGAGGAGCAACTGGGTAAAGGGGTTTTGGCTTGGGGTGTTCAGTTGGTAGGCAAAAGGGTAGTTTTAGGGTTTTTCTTTGGCTTCACTTGCAGTGAAAATTGAACAAAGAAATGCTTGTGGGGTCTATCTCTCTGATTATGCAACAAGAGAGAGTAGTACCACTTTGCTCGGCACAAGTGGTTAAATAGTCAAATATCATTGATGAACCCGCAAAACAGTGATTATATTACACATTATCAGTAAGATGCCTTGAAAGGGAGCTTAGCTAAGCTGTTTTTCTTTTCTTTTCTTTTCTTTCCCCCAGTTTTTATATTTAAAAATTCACTTTAACGCAATATATAGCAAAGGTTTACACACTTCTCTCTCTCTCACACACACACATTATTTCTCTCTTTTTTTTTTGTTCCAAATGTGATGATTTATTTTTAATTTTTTTGGTCAAATATGATTTTTCTTCAAAGACAAGGAAATTACTTAATTCCGGGAAGAAAAAAAAAAGAGAAATTTAAAAAGGAAAAACATCTTTTGTTCTGTTTTTTTTTCTTATGATTTTTTCTTCTCCTTAAAGCATATCTTATGTGCTCGAATTTATCATTTGTTCTTACAAGTAACAAGACCAAACAAAAAAGGTTCAATTATTTGTTTTTATCTGATCATAAAAAAGGAAAACTCGGATATTCATTATATACAATGTTTGAAGTATCTTATTTTCAAATTGTTATAAGAAGAAAAAGTACAAAACTTTTTTTTTGGTAACAAGTATCTTAGACCAAAGTCCGGACTAATTTTGGGACCGGAAGTGGGACAAATGTTTGCACCCGTTTCTCCAGTTGAATTATCTCAATTTGAGTAAAATTACAAAAACTTTAAAATGTCTTTATAAAATTATTGTCTTATAAAACTTTTAAGTTTATATAATATATTTAAATTATTTTAGTGGCAATCTCAGTCAGAATGTATAATTTAATTAATCAAAACATGGTACTAATAATTTTCTTAATTAAGTTAATTTATTATTAAGGTTCCTTCCTCTTTGCCCTTTTATTCATCTTAGGTTTATTTGTTCTCTATTATTGCAATGTTATCTTCCTCCTATTTATTTATTTTACCCAATTATTTATTTCTGAAAAAACACAAAAAAAAGGAACTTTTTTCCTTGTAAGGACATATCAGACACCTCACACCTACGCAGTTTGTCTGAACCTCGTCCATTGTCATGTTTTTCGGCAGACACGGAAATTGGAATAGTGCCACCTGAAACACACACACACACACACATATATATATATACTATTTAACACTACTTTTTTCTCCTCTAGATTTCTTTAAAAAAAATTTCCAAATCTAATTTGGATTTGATTTTACTATTCGTAATCTTTAAGGTACTCTAGATAAATCTCGTATTCCTCAAAAAAGGAGATTCCTTTTTTCGTGTTTGGTCGTTACATGCAAAGCTGTTTCGTTTCTCTGTTCTGCTTGTGAGTGCCTCCGTTTTCAAAGTTGTGTGAAACTCTGATTATCACGTTCTTCGATATTTGGTGTTTGTTTATGATGGATTGATAGTGATTTTGCAGAAAAGAAGGTAAATTTGGAGACTTTATGATTCTCTGGGCTCATCTTCCGCAAGATCTTGCGGGTTATTGTAGGTGGGTTATCTGATCATTGTGCTTGTTTAATCGCATTCTTTTGTCATTTTGTCAATTAAAAAAGAGTTGGGAGTTGTCTGATTAGATCAAAGATGAATACTTGGTAATTTTTGTGTATTCCCAAGCAACTAAAAAGTCGTTTGGGCATTTTTTTTTTCACCTCGCTTGGTACAAGAGATCTTTTATCTCCAGTTTTTCAATCTGTTCTAGGGTTTAATATGATGCACAGAAGAATTGTGTTCATTGTAATAGATTTAGCTCACTCTGTGCATATGCATTCAGGTGAACTTTGTGGTAGACTCAGTGTTGTTGGTAAGGTGATCTCAGAAGATGGGATACGCTTGTGATTTCTGTGGGGAGGATAAGTCAGTTGTGTATTGCCGGTCAGATGCTGCACGTTTGTGTTTGGCCTGTGACCAACATGTCCATTCTGCAAACTCCCTGTCTAAACGACATTCCAGGACGCTGTTATGCGACAAATGCAGTTCGGGTCCTGCTTGGATTAGATGTGTGGAAGAGAAGGTCTCTCTTTGTCATAAATGTGATTTGTCTGCTCATGGAAATTCTTTGTCTGCCTCCGCTTCTTCGGGGCATAAGAGGCAAACTATCAGTTCCTACTCAGGCTGTCCTTCTTCTGCGGAACTTGCATCCATCTGGTCATCTGTTTTGGCTATTCCCACTTTGGCTGATGGTTCCACCTCGGAGAAAGCACTGGTTATGATGAGTGCAACAGAGAACAACAAATTACATTCACAGTGTTCTTTAGTCAGTCCAGATATCCTAGACGCAACCGCTACAGTTAGACCTTCAATTCCAGAAACTAGTGCTTTCTCTGATAATCTTGATCAGCTGATTGGAACAAACACATCTGCAAAGGTAAGCCATGTCTTTTGCACCTTGTCCTTTTATTCCTCATGGCTTACATCCCGGTGGATCTCTAAACTTTCTTCAATGTATCAAATGTGCAGCTACCATATCCCGGAATCGATCATCTTGGCCTTTCTGGGGACTGTGTATATGAGGACTTCAATCTCGGTGTAGACTTTGTTCTAGAGAACTATGATGCATTGTTTGGTGCGGCTCTTAATGACTCGGATAATCTTTTCGAAAATGGTGAAGTCAATAACCTATTGGGGGAAGAAGACTTGACTGCAGCTAATCTTTGCAGTCAAGCCATATTTGCAGCAGAGGTTCATACGCTACTTTATGTTTATGCTTTTATCCTCTGTATCTCGTTAGCATGTGGTGCATGTTTGCAGTTTAATATCTTGGTTTCGGTGTGTCCCGGAAACTCGAGTTTGCCTTTTCTTAATCTTTATTCGTTTCTCGTACACTTACCAACCAAAAACATAGCAAAGGTAGAATCACTTCCTTTAGTTATATCACCTGATTGTATTAATGGTTGTGTTCTTATCCAGGAGATATCGGTCAGATCTGCCAATTCAAACCAGCCATCTTGCAGCAACATTGCATCTGCTGATTCTGTTTGGAGCAATAAAGCGGAATCAACAATCTGTTTCACGTCAAGACAGGCTCATTCAAGCCTCTCATTTTCTGGCATAAGTGGAGATACCAATAGCGCTGTGGATAACCAAGACTATGGTGTCTCTACATCTGTGATTCTTACAGGAGAGCCTCAGTGGCGTCCTCCTCCTACCGATGCTTCCTCACTATCATCGAGCCGCATTGACGCTGTTATGCGTTACAGAGAGAAAAAGAAGACCCGCAAGTTAGTGAAGTGAACTTCTCCGGAAACGAAAACTCCGCAGACAGCGCTTTCTCGAACATGAAAGATTCTTTTTTTCTTGAGTATATAGGTAATCTAATCTGGCTGATATGAGAGTACAGGTTTGAGAAGCGAGTGAGGTATGCTTCCCGGAAAGAGAGGGCTGATGTTAGAAGACGGGTAAAGGGGCGTTTCATTAAAGCTGGTGAAGCTTATGACTATGATCCACTTGACCACACCCAAAGCTAGTGAAGTGTGCTTGCAATTGACAGATAGGAACTTAGGTTACTCAGAAGGAGACAAAAAAATAAAGTTGTAGGAAAAAATAAAACTACCTCTTCATGATACAGGTGAATGGCCATTAGTAGGAGAAACTTATGCTTGAGCATAAATCGGATTCTTGGAAATGGAGGCAACGATGATTCAGCACGCGAATGGATCGATAGTTTTGGCAAGAGCTGGAACAAAGCTTTTAACCTTTTGATCTTCCAAGTTAGTTATTCTTCCGCTTGCCTTTTTCCAAGCTAGTAAAGTAAGAGGTTTCTTCATTATAACTTGATATGAGCAGTGTTGTCCTTTCAAGTTTGATGCCAATTCATGTTCACTTATTCGTAAGAACTACGAGATCAGATGACTATGTAGATGTAGATCAGACACATATACAGAGGCACATGTAAGTGGTTTCACATGATATGTACATCAGACATATCTTGATACTGATCCCATGGGATCTAATCTGTCTGAAAACTCGGACCGGAAGAAGGTAACCCTACGTATACTTAAGTATCTGTACAACCCACAGATTCTTTACAGAGAAAAACTCAGGGAAAGCTCTCACCAAATCCATGAAGAGACCTTTTCTTCTGGAACCAGAGAAGTCCTACTAAGTGGGACAGTGATGTTCCAATAATCTATCCATTTCTCTAAGCACATTTTGTGAAACAAGTGGCCACATTTGAGCTTGTTGATCCCTGACTCTGGCTCAAATTTTGTCAGGCAGACCGTACAATCATGGTCGAGGTTGGGCTGTTTCTTGCATCTGCAGAGGCTGATGAACCTCAGGGTCGGTGTCTGGTTCCTGAATTCCTCCAGTAAACTGCCAGGGTGACAGAGCCGGGGATCCTCAGGGGATGCAGAGGATGATGACGACGACGAGAGGCGGATGCCTATCACGTGAAGGATAGATCTGGCAATGCCTTTGAAGATGGATATCGATAATGCTGTGTTTGCCAATATGATCCACATCATTTCGAAATTCTTGGTTTGCTTTAATGGGTTTTCTTCAGATTCGTTTCGAGCAGTGCTTGATTCCCCTAAGCTGGAGCAAGAAAAACTGGACCAAGTTGCTGTCTTTCTTGTTGTTTGATGATATACGATCTGAGAAATAACAAAGCGGGCTATTGGTAGACAGTAGAAGGATTGATAAATCGCTGAAAAAAGATAGCAAATTTCGAGTAATGAATAGAAAGAAAAAATCAAAGGTGGCTAAAACTTATGCCAGTCAGAAAATGACCAAAAGAGAAACTGAACATTCTGAATATGACAAAGGGATGAGCAGAAACTTCTTAGAAACCGAGCACAGAAGATCAAAAGGAGGTGTTTTATGTGCTGTCTTCATCTAGGATTCAAACTCAAAACCTGAGTTTGATTCCAGCTCAAGTTTTCACCATGAAAAGGCATTACTAAGCTTTTCTATTTCCCAATGCCGTGAAGGCCAAAAGTAATTCAAGGACATCAGGATATGGGAATAGGATCCAGATAGGTTGCCCCAAAGGTTTACTCATAAAGTTGAATTCTCCGAGATTTATGACACCAGATCTAACTAGACTTGTGCGGTAATATTAACTCCATATGATTGTACTGAACTAAGTTAGTCTCGGAATGATTGAAAGGTGGAATCTTTCTAAAGGTTAAACAAATCAAGATCATAACAAAGGGGGTAAATACGAAAGATTCAATTTTGTGTCAAGGGTTCAGGAATTCCTGTTCTGTTACCATGGAATCAAAAATATTCTTCAGTAAAGATTGATACCCATTTGCAAAATTCAAAGCTTTCAAGCATCTAAGGTTCAATCTCGTGTATCTCATTCTGATTCTGATGAAGAACACTAGCCTGTAAGCATCACTACCTATTTATTCATATGATAAAAGAAAACAAACAAACCAAGAGATACAAAAAAGCCCAGAAATGTAACATTTCTTCTTTCCTCTATATCACTACCCAGAGAAAAGAAAAACTGATTAATCAACACCAAGAAATAAATCAAAAACAAAGACAAAAAAGAAAAACAGGAAAAAGATTAGGAAATTTTGAAAATTGGGGGAGAAAAGAACCTAAAAACCTTGAGAGAAGTATCAAGGATAATCAAGAATCTCCATGAAAGTGGAATAACTTTTTGAAAAAAGAAACTTTTGGGTTCTTCTTGTATGTGGGAGGAGATGTGCTTTTTGTTTTGCCCTTCGAAGATTTCAATCTTTTTATTTAAATGATATTTCATTTTTCTAAAGATTAAATTTGAATCAATTCGGTTTATAAATAATGTCGGTTAACGCGATTCAACTATTTAACCGGATCGAAATGATCGGTCGTACCATTTCAACAACCAATCGGTTATTTTAGAAATAACCAAACCGAACCAAACTATAATTATTCTCTTCGGTTCGATTTGATTTTTAATTCACCAAACCGTTGCCCATCTCTAACCCTTGTTAGTAGGGCTGGGCACAAATACCCGAAAATCGGGTATCCGTCGGATACTCGTCTCACGGATACCCGATTTTAGGGTACTCATAATTTTTAAATCCGAATCCAAATATCAATTTTTCAATACCCGTGAATCCGAATCCAAATCCGGATAATAGAATTTTTAAAACCGGATACCTGCAGGTACCCGACAATTATGATTATAAATAATTATATCTTATATTTATATAATATTTTTATAAAATATAATTATTTTAGATTAAATAATTTCATATATTTTAATATTAATTCAAAAAAATTAAATTTATTATTATTTATCTCTTATTATCTACTTTATCTCATATATTTTACATATATTTTATCGTAATTCATCAATTTTTATAAATATATCTTCATTTTTTGAAAATTTTATATATGAATATTGTTGTTTTTCTTAAATAAATCCGGATCCGGATACCCGCGAATACCCGACCATTATTCCGGATACTTGTACCCTGGATACTCGTAAATACCAAATTCCGGATACAAATCTTATAGCTAAATACTCGAATATCCTGGATCCAAATCCAAATTTCTCAATTTTTCCGAGTATCCGACCCGTGCCCACCCTAGCTACTTCCATTTATAAGCTGGGCCTTTTAGTTCATTGGGTTTATTTAGAGAAATACACACGTGTTGGGCCTGTTAGGCCTATTGGGTTTATTAAGAGAAGTTCACACGTGTGGAAAAGTGTTTGACACGTGTCACACAAGACGACAAAGCCAAAGAACGCATTACCCGCTCCCGTTATCTTCATCTTCTTCACCTTTCACCTCCCTGAATTCTCAGAATCTTAGCCTCTTTTGTTCTTCGGATAAAAGATAGTGCCCAGAATCTGCGCTCCCTCCGATTCTCGGAGCGTCTCCTTCTCGGTTTCGTTCTCTATAAACCACTGAACCAGAGCGTCTCCTTATCGGTTTCCTTCTCTCTACACCACTGACCCAGAGCGAAATCCATCGCCATGGACGTCGCTGAAGCTCCATGGTGTTCTCTGCCTCACTTTCTCGTTTCTTCTCGCGCCTCGTGGATAGTTTCCTCTTGCAGTGCTGTAAAACCGTAAGCTTGTTCAGTCAGGCATTTTAGCATACACTTCGTCTCTTACTCTGTTCATGTGTTTTTTGAATTGGGCCTTAAACCTTTCGTTGTTTGAAATGGTTGTTATGCTTCGGTTTCTTTGATGTATACATATTGTTATTTCATGGGTTTTCTCTGAACTTGTCGAAGCTTGAATGTCTCTGCTAGCTTTTGACTTTGGCTTTCTGAAAAGGGTCCTCTTTATTCCTGTCTGGAATTCGTAAAGCTTGAATCTTTTTTTTTTACGTGTTTTTCCTTGGTTTTTTCAAATTTCCAGCTTGATTTCTGTGATACTCTGCAAATTTTTGGATTCGCTGTTTGAGCCAAATTTTGAATCTTCTTGTTCTCAATCTAGGCGTTCAAAGAATGAGTGACATTGCATGCCTAGAAACTGCAAAAATTTGGGTACACATTTATTTTAATCAAGTCTCATATCTTACTAATCTTCCCCAACTCAACTCATGATTGCAGTATGAATTGGATATCTTAAGTTTAGAGGGGAAATGGCGATAAATGTCTGGGAATTGTTTCTTTGCTAACAGTTCCACTTGGAAATGGTATTTAGTGCTAACTGGTAACCTTGCTGTTGAAACAGATATATGTTCTGTCAAACCCGACGCGGAAAAATGTATAGGCTCACATTATGCTTCGGGGTCTCTCGTGCTCGTGCACAGTCTGCTTTGATTAGTGTAAAGCAAGGTAATTTGGATATCTTAATGTTGCCGGTGAACATATTTCATGCTTTTAACGTTCTCTCACATTTTCTAGTTTCTTGATATGCCATAGTTGAAATTCTGTTTACTCTAATTGAACTTTTAACTTTTAAGTCATACCTAAGGCTGTATCTATTGCTTTCTAATCGAGTTTTGATTTTTCTTGTTTGTTTTTGAATTCTCAGGTCAGCCAGATAATGTTATGAGAGGAATTTGCGAGGTTGTTTGGATCGTGGAAGCTGATCTTGATTCTAATGAACATCTCTATGTCACCGGAGATCATGTGGCTTTGGGTAGCTGGGAGCCAGATAGAGCAATCTTAATGTATCCAACAGAAATTGAGAATGTATGGAAAGCTGAAGTTAAGGTATTTGATTCACTTTTTTTTAGTGTATCAGACAGCTCACAAGTATTTTGAGTTTGCACCATTAACATAAAAAGAAACTCTGACTCTTGTTAATGAGGCTGTTCATACATCGGTTTCGCTCACTCTTAATGTCTTTGGCAGATTGGTTCTGGTGTAAATTTCAGGTATAATTATTTTATAAAAGCAGGAGGCGGATCTTCGGTAGATTTCATTTGGAGACCAGGACCCCAGTTTTCTCTGTCAGTTCCTTATTCTGTCAGTCGAGACAGAAAAATCATTGTAAGGGATTCCTGGCTGACTTTGTGTCCTAAATCACAACAATCTCATATGTGGGAGTCTTGGGTAGACGAGTCTTTCCTCTTGGACCAGCATGTGGCCTCAGCTGAAATCGAAGGTAAACATCTCTTTGATCTCCCATTTCAGTCTAATTCAGCCTTTGAAAAATGTTTCTGAAGACTCAAATGCTTCCAGTTCTTTGGCAGATGAAAGTACTTTTGTCGATAATGCTACAGAAGTTCCAAGACAACTTATGAATGACAAACAATTTAAAGATGAACCTTCCTCCGCTGATGTGGTTGCAACCGTTTCATCAGATAACTCGGGCTTTAGTGCATTATTTTCTGAAAGATACCAGCCTATTGAGGAACCATGGTTACTTCAACCATCTAGTACCTTGCAACATGCTGAGGATATGCAGACCGATAGAGGACAAAGGGTGGAAAGTGATGATAGAACTGAAGATGATTTAGACATTGACAGCCAAAATAAGCAGATGACTCTCTTGCCGGACAATGGATTTAGCTCACGACAAGATTCTGTTTCTACTACGATACTAATTAATTCCTCTATATGTACCATGCAAAGGATTGCTGTATTGGAAGATGGAAATCTGGTTGAGCTATTGTTGGAGCCAGTTAAAACCAATGTGCAGTGTGACAGTGTTTATCTAGGTGTGGTCACTAAGTTTGTTCCCCATATGGGTGGCGCATTTGTGAACATTGGAAGTGTTAGACATTCTTTCATGGATATTAGGCCAAACAGGGAACCATTTATATTCCCTCCCTTCCGTGATATGTCGAAGAAGCAAGAAGCAGATGGTCCTCTTTTTCACTCCATCAATGGTATTTCAGCTCCACCTGAACTTGATCATGCATCATATGAGTTAGAAGGCAATGACTCATCAAATGTGGATTCAGTTAATTATCCTGTGCAACATTTTCATAATGGTGATGAGGAGGAGGAGGAGGAGGAGGAGGAGGAGGAGGAGGAAGAAGAGCATGAAAATGATGATGTCTCGGATGTTCTGGCCGGAATAGTGAATGGGAGGATAGTTAACCATGGTGAAGCAGAAGCTGATTTCGATGAATACCATGAAGGAGATGAGCAAAATCTTGAAGTTGGATCTGATAATGGTTCCCTTCCTATGCAGACAAACTGGTCTCTGGATTCTCTAAATTCTGTTGGATCAGAAGTGAAAGCTGCCAAGGGTATGTCATCTCTGGACAACAAATGGATCCAAGTTCGTAAAGGTACCAAAATAGTTGTGCAAGTTGTTAAAGAGGGCCTTGGCACCAAAGGTCCTACTCTTACTGCTTATCCGAAACTGAGAAGCAGATTCTGGGTATGCCTTCAGTTGTGTCCCAAAGCCCTATTTTTTTTTTTAATTTCTCGTTATCTTCTTTCCTGAATTAAGTTTCTGCCTTTAGGTATTACTGGCTCGTTGTGATCGAATTGGAGTCTCAAAAAAGATTTCTGGAGTTGAGAAAACCCGGTTGAAAGTTATCGCGAAAACTCTACAGCCCCATGGGTTTGGCCTGACTGTAAGAACTGTAGCTGCCGGTCATTCTCTAGAGGAACTGCAGAAAGACTTGGAAGGTTTGCTTTCAACTTGGAAAAACATTATAGAAGATGCAAAATCTGCAGCACTTGCTGCAGATGAAGGCGTCGAAGGAGCCACTCCCGTCTTGCTACATAGGGCTATGGCCCAAACGCTCTCTGTTGTGCAGGACTATTTCAATGACAAGGTAAGAAGGCAATTGTCCGCTTCTTCTACTTCTTTGGCAGTACTTTGGAGGCAGTTTGCCCCTTTAGTTTCAGACAGCATTTCCTCCACATTAAGTTTTTTTTATGGTATTTTCCAGGTTCAGAAGATGGTAGTTGACTCTCCTAGAACGTACCATGAGGTATGTAACTGTGTTCTGCCTAATTGCAACTTCATTCTTAAGGAAATAATAGAGGTGCCCATCGAGACTCTCTTCATAGACAACTATCTTATACCTGCCATCCGGTATAAGTTTGGTTATTTTCTTTTCAAATGCTCATCAAGCAAATTCAGTTTCACGTGTCTTTTCTTTTCGATAGTGTCTCTTGCACTTTTTCAGTATGGTCTATGTACTTTTCCCTACTATCTTGGAGATATTGTTTTAATATTGTTGTACACATTTATTTATCCGGGTAGAACCGGTTTAATGCTAAAAGGGCAGCATTTCAATAACTGTTATTCTTCTCCAGGTTACCAATTATCTGCAGGAAATTGCACCTGACCTTTGCGACCGAGTTGAGCTGCATGAGAAAGGGATTCCTCTATTTGATCTATACAACATTGAAGAGGAAATCGATAGTATTCTCAGCAAAAGGTCAGAAAACATCCACAAGGCCTCTTTGTCTTGTAATATTCCACTATGTTCTGCTTTTCCCCCGACAAGTCTACTAGCAGGTGATGTTTCGGTACTTGCAGAGTTCCACTTCCCAATGGAGGTTCTTTAGTGATTGAACAAACAGAGGCATTGGTCTCCATTGATGTGAATGGTGGGCATGGGATGTTTGGTCAGGGGAATTCACAGGAGAAAGCTATTCTGGATGTTAACCTTACGGCTGCCCGACAAGTACGTTACACATTCTATTTGCCCTGTAGACCAAATATTTGTCTTGGAAAAAGTTATTTTTCGCCACTGAGATATGCCTTGTGACTGTTTTAGGAAGTTAGATATCAACAAAATGCCGGGTCTATAATTTATTTTATCGAATGGTTTTGGATGGAGAATGAACAATGCCACAGTTTGTGTTTGTTTCATGTAGTTGATCTTGCAGTCTACTTGATGCTTTGCATTATGCCAGTCTCTCAAGAACGTTTATTATGTAATACTCAACAAATTCATCATGTTTTCAGATCGCAAGGGAGATACGACTGAGAGATATCGGTGGTATCATCGTGGTAGATTTCATCGACATGGCAGATGAATGTGAGCTAGAAACTCTTTTGTTTATTTAATGCACACCTGTCATGAACATTGAAGATATCAAGCCATTTTATCTTTCAGAACGATGGCTGCTTATATATATATTCTTGTTCTTTTCACTTGTTTCAGCAAATAAGCGACTCGTATACGAAGAAGTTAAGAAAGCAGTAGAGAGGGATAGGTCTTTGGTGAAAGTCTCGGAATTGTCTAGACATGGACTTATGGAAATAACAAGAAAACGGGTATTTGTATCTCTCATTTGCGGTTAATTTTTTTGTTATTTTCAAAAGTTTCCAAGCAAATCTCTCAGGATAGATGATTAAAAAATCTCATCCTTTCACAGGTTCGTCCAAGTGTAACATTCATGATCAGTGAGCCGTGTTCTTGCTGTCATGCAACTGGTAGAGTTGAAGCCTTGGAGACATCCTTTTCAAAGATCGAACAAGAGATTTGTCGGCAGCTAGTGAGTACATCAACAAACACTATTCTTTGTTCTTATTCACCTTTTCATGGTAGCAGAAAATCAAGAAAACCCAGAAAAAGATCGTGCTTATTATATTGATTTGGAAGATGATTTACGCGGCTATGATCAAATTTTTCTTTTTGTAGGCAAAGATGAACAAAAGAGGAGATCCTGAAAAACCAAAGTCTTGGCCAAGATTCATATTGCGGGTTGACAATCATATGTCTGACTACTTGACTACAGGGAAGAGGACAAGACTTGCAATTCTCAGTAGTTCCCTTAAAGTGTGGATTCTTCTAAAGGTACGTTGAACTTAGAACCAACCCATGCAAAATCTCATGCAAAACACTGGTTTTATTGATCAAAACCTAAGGGTTTGAAAAAATCCGCTTTCGTAGGTTGCAAGGCACTTCACGAGAGGGACCTTTGAGGTGAAACCATTCATGGACGAGAAGGTCGTCAATGAAAGACAGCATCGAGTAGCTATTTCACTGCTCAAGAAAGCCGACACCAGAGGTGACGTGTCTGGCAAGAAACTTACTCTGGTTCCTGTTAAGAAGGGCAAGACCAGTGGGAAACAGAGACAATGAAACATAACCTATAATTTCATCCATAGTTGCTCTGCTTGATAGGTCAGAAAAGATTCGTTCTTTTGTCTTGATAAGGACTATGTTTTTTCCCAACAGTGAAGCAATTTTGTTGTATGTCAGATTATCAGTCCCCTTCAATGTAAACCAGATTTTTATCAAGAGAGAAGTATTATTTCCCTTTCTCACCATTCGAATGACTAACAAGACGAGTAAAGAGAGCAATTGCAGGATCACAGAGGGAAGAAAGTGCAAAGATTCATTAAAGAACACAACAGAACAAGGAAAATGGAACATGGAAAGCTATCCAACATGGACAAGACAGGGAACACAAGTGGAACTATTCTATGACACAACAAACAAACATGGAACCTGTAAGAAGAGGATTGGAGATGGAACCTGAAATTCAGTTACAGGGGTAGCAAGAGAGACAGATTAGCTAGATGCAGCGTTGCAAGTGCCGGCTCCATCTTTGCAGTCATTGGTAAGATCATTAAAAGTTTCAATCTGCCTCTTCCCTCTCAAGAACACTTCTGTATCTACAGAAGCTCTCATGTAACCGTCGAACTCAACAGGGTTTCCCCCATTAAGCTTCATCGTGTCCGAATACCATTCACTGCCCTCATCCCATAGATTTTTGTACTCGTCAAGAAAATGAGTAGCGTATTTGTCTTTCAAGGGGTCGAATATCGATATGTCTTGTTCATTTGTCGCTATATAGACATTCCTTCCTTCTTCGATCTTGTCCTGTAAGCTCGACAAGAGGGCACTCGGGGAAGTGTCCTTGTCAAGGTTAGGCCAAAGATCTTTGTTTATCACCTTATCTCCTCTTTCGATATGGACAGCATCATAATCCCAATTCAACTTCGATGCAATCGCAGAGACTAGTTCCATCAACCTTCTTGATTTCCACACTAGATGCCATGGTCTTTGTACAGCAGATTCTGTTTCACCTTCACAAACTCTGTACCAATAGTTATCCGGTTCTACTGACCCGAACTTCCTCATTATCAATGTCTCTTTCACGTTGGAAAGCTTCATGGGCGTGAGCCTGAAGTCCTCCACGAGATGAAGGCCTAACCCATTCTTCTTATGCCATTTTTCCCAATCCGACCAGAACTGAACTTGATCCAAGACTGAGGCAGCCTCTTTCAAGTGCTCGAAATCAAAGTAAAACCTAAAGTCCTTTCCTTCCTCGTTTTGTCCAGATGAAGTGTATATCGAAGACAGGCATAGGGTCAGATCCATCACCAATGTCCGGTTCAAGTATTGAGCTTCACCTAATGCACACAAGAAACTCCACAAGTAGTGATTCATGCTCTTGCACCTGTCTCCTCCGCCCACATAGATCAAGTACTTACCCCGTTTAAACGCATTCTCCGACTCAATAACGGGAAGGGAATCATTCACTTGTTCACCAACCACCGGTAAAGAAAAATCGTCACTTTTCTTTCCATTCTTTTCGAACCCGGGTTTCTGGTTCTTCTTCCGCTTCCTCGCATTCACACCCGAGTGATAATCTCCGATACTCGCCACACTGAATGTACAATTCTCAGACTTCTCTACCACAAACCTACGATAATCCTTGTAGAATGCAGCTGTCTTCCCGTCCTTAGGCCTATAACGCCAAGCCATATCACAGGTAATATCGCCTTCCCCGGAAATCGGTTTCCCAAACTTGTAAAAGTGAATGTCCTTGAACTTCTCTATGGTAGCTTTCATCATCAAATGGAAAATCTCTGGATCTTTGCAATCAATGGAGCTGCTATTATTGACTTCACAGTCCAACTGGTTAGTGTCGGAACCGTTGTCTGTGTTCTCCACATCTGTAATGTTGATGAAAGCGGCGAAAGCAGTTTGGTTCGCCGCCATGAAATCTTCGCCTGTCTTAACGACAGTGTCGTCGGCTTTCAGTGTGGCGTTGGATGTGGATGTGAGGAAAGTTGTGATCTTGTTAGATGGGTGGAAAAGCGGATCCTCCGGCTCATAGGTAGCTGCGATAATGGTGAAAACCAAGACTCCGACGACAAACAACGAGAACCCAATGTTCCCGATCAAGCTCAGGGCATTCTGCCCTAAGTTCTCCGGACGAAAGCCACCGGTCCTGGAAAATGCAGATCGACCCAACATCTTCTCTCAGATCAATCGCCACGAATTGAGCAACACCCACAACTCTAAACGATCAAAATCGCAAAACCCGGATCGCGAAAATGCAGCTTTTGCAGATATGAAAAAGAAATGAAGAGAGTAATAGAGATTTATAGTCAGTGATCCGGTATTGACCCACCTCTAATGACCCCCGAGTCGAGCTGAGGAATCGAAGAACATTGCTCTTTTGCAGGTGCCGAGCTTGTGGGTTTTTCGACCGCGAGATTTCTTCGCGTCGGAGTGTTTTTGGAGAGACGAGAGAGTACGTGAGCTAAGATGCGTACACGTGTTTATTCCCATGACGTGGAGGGAAATCAAGGGTGGATATTGAAGGAGATTCCTCCGGCGTCTTCACCGACGATGGCCAATGATTTGTAATCATAACGATCTTAATTAGATCTTGGGTTATGTGTCTAATTATTTTGACTTTTTAAGGTAATTATTAATGCTGATTAGTGATTTAATTTGCTCGTGCATAAATTATGAAACACTAATGCTGCACCACTAAATCAGAAAATTTGTGTAAAAAACATGAGATGTAAATATACAAATGACCCCAAAAGCTAAAAATGATGTACAAAGGAAATGCAAAAGATTCATGCCCTCATAGAAACAACACTCTTTTTGCAAACTAGGCCATAACCGGATTTTTCATCTTAACCGGACACCGGTTATTGAAACCAGAAAAAAAAACCCTACAATCTCATAACCGGATTAGTAGTGTACTTAGTTATTCAACCTGTGAGGAGATCTCAGAAGTTGCACAGGAAGAGGCCTTACGTTGTATGCTCTTCATGCTAAGCTCCATGCTTCTTTGAACCATATCCTGCAACAGTTTCTTCGCCGTTTCCGCTGCTTTTTCCGCTCCGTCGACGTGAACGGCGATGCCGTATACGATCTTTTCCAACACCGAGGAAGAGATTTCCTTCTCCCGAGGGGTTTCCCTCAGTAGGTCGAGGAGAATTCTAGCTCGTTCTCGGGCTTTGGATGTGCCTTCTACTGTTAGACATAGGAGGCCTGGGATTGCGCCTTCTTTGAGGATGAGTTCCCGATACTTATCCCGGGAGCTCTGGCATAGCGAAAGCAAGGCTCCCACCGCGTGTTCTGTGCTTAGTAACGACCCATCCTCTACCGTTTCTACTAATGTCAAGATCCCGGCTTGACAGCTTGCGATGGCTGTCCGCCCGTCTTCAGAGCTTGAGAGGATCTCGAGCAAAGCTGTAGCTTTTTCAGCAAACTTGGTATGTTTTTTGCATTCCTTGAGGAGGTGAATGAGTGGGGGAACAGCTTTAGCATCCATAAACGAGAGGGTATTCTCCTTGCAAGCCGATAGATTGTGTAGGGCCGTGACAGCGTCCACTTTCCCTTGAACAGTTCCGGAGCTAAGCATCTGAACCAGAAGAGGTGCGACTCCTGCAGCGATGATCGTCGCCTTGTTAGCTGGAGCAGCTGAGAGGGTTAAAACCGCGGCAGTGGCTAATTCACGAAGACTGGCATTTTGCAGCTTGAGAATCTGGATGAGAGGAGAAATCGCACCAGCTTTCACAATCTCGATCTTGTTTCTGATCAGAAACGACATGGAAAAAGATATAAGTGAGCCATGCCTGGGAATATAAAAAAAAACTATCTATCCCCACACCCACATTACTCACAACATAAGATCGCAGAAAACAACTGCTTTAGCAAGCAGATTCAGACAAGACAACAAGATGGTTGATCACAAAACAACACAGTGTACTTCTTTTTGGGAACATATCACAATAGCAGAGCCATCCCAACCGCTATGAGCTGTAATGTCCATGAAGAAGATAGTTTTTGGGCATGATTTGGCCAACAAACCCCACGAATTTTGCGGGTCTCTAAACTCCAAAATGTAATTCAACATATGCCAACAGGATATTGGTATAATGCCCACTTCACAAAGTTACAGAAAGAAAATCCTAGCTTCAATCCAGTGTTTATGCACTATCCATGTATTGATTTGACTACTCAAAAACTGCAAATCAGCTTCCTCTTATGGCACCAACAGCAATATCATGAATCTGATCTGAAGTAGAAATTCATGAAGTTACTTCCTAAACAAGAAGTATCATTTTCGACATATTCAGGGTATTCACATGTTCATCGATTAGAGAATCTTAAGAATTTGCTGTGTATCAGTTTCCTAAACAGCAAAGATCAAGTACTGAATCCGTACTGCTGAAGATATCAGGAACCAAAACTAGAATCGATGAAGTGAAATGAAATGAAATTTCAATATTCAGATCGAGAAACCAACCAAAATAAATTGTCCCAACGGTGCAAATCAAAACCTAGAATCATCCCAAATTCACCATCAGCGATGATTACAAGACAAAGAACCCAAAAAAAGACCGAGAGATGTACCGTTCATTTCTGACGGCGAGGTTGAGAAGAGCGAGGAGAGAAGCGCGGCGAGCGTCGAGGCTGGAGGAAACGAGCATGGAGACAAGCGGAGGGATGACTCCAGCGTCAGCGAGCTTCGACCTCGCCGACGACTTCACCGGAGACTTCCTGAGTAGCTTCCTGATTTCTCTGGCAGCTTCGATTCGGAAATCGAGATCTCCATGGATGAGCTTCCTTGAGAGCTCTAGGATAAGGGAGTGCTTCTTGTCCTTCGACGAAGTGGCTGTGGCGTCCTCTTCTCCTTCTTCCTCTCCTGCTTCTTCGTCCTCTTGCTCCCTCCCGGAAACCTCGGCAACCGTCGCCGGAGAAGTTCCGTCGCCGGTGGTGGCCACCGCCGTACCGTTCTCGATCTCTTCCACCACCATTCTCTCCCTCTCTATGGTTTAAGGTTGGGTGACGGGTGAGGTCGAGCCCATTATACGGGAACTTCTCATTTATCGAAATCTACACATTTTTTTAAGGGTTCATTATTATTATTATTATTATTATTATTATTATTATTATTATTATTATTATTATTATTATTATTATTGTTGTTGTTGTTATTGTTATTATTATTATTATTATTATTATTTACAAATTAAAAAAACAAAATTCAAAACAAATTCAATTAGTAAAAACGAAAATGTTACCAAATTAGTTAAGAACATAGTTCAATTAATGGTCTATTTGAAGGTGGAAAATTTTGGAGTTTTGGTTTATTTTTTTTCCTTTGTAAAAATTAAATTCATTATTGTTTTATATTTATTTTTATTCAACACAAACTTTATTCATATTTGAACTCAAATTTTATCAATTCATTTTATTCAGTCAAATTTGATTATTTATATTTTTTAAAAATATCGAATCAATTTCTGAATCGAATTTTGGTTTCGAATTTAGTTTTGTTATAAAAAAAATTTTCTAAAAATTTGAAAAACCGTTTTGGTAAAAAAATCAATGAAAAACCAAAAAGTATATGTTTTGGATTTATAAATATTATATAATCTAAAAACCAAAAAATAAAAACTAAAATTAAAATCTAAAAAATAAAACTAAAAACTCAAAATAAAAATCATCTCACGACACGACATGAGTTATAGGGTATGAGTATGACTAATACATATAACAAATTCATCTAATTAATTCCATTTTGAGCCAATGAATGGAATCGGGTCCATAAGGATCTATCAAGTAACAAAAGAAAAAAAAACATATAGATTCCAAAATGAAATAAATAAAACCAAACTGATTACAAAAAATCTGACAATTAATTAATGAAAAAAAGGAACATTGAATAAAAGATTTATAACAACATTAACTATACAGTACCTCAAAGATCTAACAAACAGAAACACATGTAAAACCAGTGAGCAGACAAGACAAAACATGCACAATGTCCGTACACTCCGTCTTCTCCAACATGCGCGAAGAGAAAGCCGCGATCTTGTGAACTGGGTTTTGTTTTTTTGGCCATAAAGCTCAGAAACCAGAACAGGAAGTGTTCTTGCCCCCCCAAAAAAAACCCTAATTCAGATCCTGAGATAGCCTCTTCGTTCTTGGACAATGTTCGGTCTTTTCTGGAACGATCTTCTGTTCAAAGACCAGTTCCTTTTCATGGCTCTCACCCTTTGCCAAGAAGACAGCCTAGAATACATTGCCGGGAAGACGAAACAGCATAGAACCAGAAGAAGCATTATAACACAAATGTACATCACGTTTCGGAACCCGTCTCTCAGCTCCGGTTCGTCCTGTCCCGTCCATGGAACACCTCCGACGTTCATCCCGAAAACTGCACACAAACACAACAAAGAGTGATCGAGTGAGTGAGAGTTTTTTGGTTTATCCTATCACCCGAAAAGATTTGAGAAAAGGGTGTTTCTTTGTTGCCTCCGGTAATGATGGAGAGAGGGAGGAAGATGATGGAGAGAAAGGAGAGGTAATAGAGCTTCCGGTTGATCTGCTCAGCCTGCCAGCTGTCGAGACCGGCTTGGATCGCAGTCACGCGATTTGCTATGAAGCCCACGTTCTCTTTGAGCCGTCTCAACCGCCCTATCAACTCTTCCAAGGAGTTGATATCTTCGGCTAGAAACCACGGTTTCGTCGAACATTTCTCCTTCACTCGCGGAAACACCTGTTCTCCATGTGCAATCACCTTCAAGCAACGTAAATCGGGAATAAGCAAGCATACTAGTTAATAATGGTTGCAACTGCGATTTGGCGTAAATTACCCAAAAAAAGTACATGATTTCATTGTTAAATTTGGTCTTTCTAGCAAAACACCATTAAATGCAGGTGGAAAGGTGCAATTAGATTTTTCATGTTTTGTTGCGATTGCGATCAAACCAATCAATTTTCCAACCGCCAGAAGTCACAAACACCACATTTGCAGGCGACTGCATGACAACCGGTTCTTCTATCTTCCGAGAGAGGTATTCTATTCAACATTACCTGAAACCCGGGTCTCTATTAACCTCTACCTTATAACAATCAACCGAGTAAAGATTATTCTCGAGATTTCCAACGGAAAATGCAGAGAGAGAGAGAGAGAGAGGAAACTAGGTCGAAAGAGCTACCTGCAAGAGACGCTGCAAGTTTAGATGCATCTTTGGAAATCTTCTATCGTCCAGCATCTGTTTCTTAAGAGCAAATCCACCTGAAAAAAGAACAAACTTTGCTTCCATGACGATATTCGAAGAGATCAAACGAAGAATATCATGAGCTTAACATGAAGCTTTTCGAGGAAAGAACCAGGAAAAGATACGTTTTGAGAGCTCACCTCTATCCATTTCGATTTCCACGGCATCCAACTCAATCTCGAAATTTGTCACGACATCCTGAAGCTGATCGACATGAGTGTCAATAATGTGAACCACGAGGTTCGAAACAGATCTCGGGACAGGGTTATCAGCTTCCTCGGAATGGTTCATCGTCAGCAAGAACTCAAGAACATGCTCCTCAATCACGATCCCACTCCTCTCCTTATTCTGCTCACCTCTATGATAAGACGGTGTCTCCACACTAGGAACTTCTGACAGAAGTGACTGTCCCATCGGCGAGAACCCTAACCTAGGAACTCGTCCTAACGATACAGTGATCACAGAATTCTCGGTTATCCTCGCTGCGATTCTGAATGTAAAGCTACTGGCCGGGGGACCGGGGGAATTGACTCTGAACACGAGTGCTCCATCAACGTGCCCGCAAAAGGGTCCATTGCTAACGAGAGAAAGGATGTCTTGGAGCTTCAGTGGCGGGCAGAGAGGGTCGATAAGATACTGTGCGGATTGAGAGAGTTTCTGGTTTCCTTTCGGTAATTCGACATGGTACCAACAAAACTCCCTGCCAGTTCCCTCAGCAAGATCCCATTCCTTGTTGAAATATTTCCCGTTTCCATCGAAAATGTATGCTTTCTGTCTCACCATCCCAGAGAAATGAGACCTAAACCTACGAACATCCCTGAGAGGAGCGCTTGTCAGAGCTTCCAGATCTGTCTCGTCCAGTTCTTCCCCAATCCGATCTTGATGTTCTATCATGTTCCTTTGTATACCTATTTTTAGGCAAACAGAGAAAACAATCCAATTATAGATAACCCTAAATCTTGATTTACAGATAAGGTATCATAACAGTGGCAACTTTATCTAATCTAATCTGATAAAATCAAATCCAACATAACCCCATTCCCAAACTGTGATCTTTCCTATAAACAGAGCTTCAATTCTAGCAGCAAAGTAAAGGAATTACTCAGCTAACGAAGGGCAACCAGAATTAGGAGCGAACGAGGGAGACAGACAGTATTAGCGAGGTAGATCAAATGCAGACAAAACCAGATCAGACTGGCTAAACTACCTCGTACCCTTTTGACTTCACTGCCAGTTATCACGAGAATCGTCGAAAAATCAGAACTTGACGGCGACCCAGTATCGGAAATCGCCGGCAAGACGAGGCTGATGTAACAGCGAAACCGAGGAAACTGAATGGAGGAAGAGAAGTTGGTGGGCGTTGACGCGACACAGAGAGAGGGGGGTGAATCTGTCAGAAACGAGAATTTAAAATCAATGGCAGATTAAATTTTTGCAAAGGCAAAAGCTTTTGCCCCTCGAGCATGAGGTCAAACCCAAAAGGTTGAAGAAGAAGAGAAGCCGATGATCCACAAAAAAAAAAAAAAAGAAAAAAAAAGGAAGGAACTTTCCCTTTTCGTGTGACAACGTGAATCCTATTCATCCGCCAAGTCGCCTACTTGGCTGACACTCAAAACCCGATTCGTTGGATTTGTGGTCGTTACTTCCTTGTTGTATTTGAGTAATTCAAGATAATTAAATAAAAAAAATCAAATAATAAAAATAGAAGAAAATCAATTAATTTCTAAAAAGTATTTTGAAAATAAATATCTTGGATATATAGAGATGGTTTTGTGTTCAAAATCTTGGGGTTTAAATAGAGTAAATAACGAGTTGTACATGGATTGAATTCTAGATGGTTGGAACCAATTATCTCCTCCTAGAAAGAAATCCAACTTTTGATTCTTTTTGTTTTAGTCTTTGTTAGTTGATCTAATTAATTTTGTGTGGAATTCTAAACTCATTATCGTTATAAATTAGCAAAGCCGGTTGTATACATTAATATATAGTTTTATATATCGTAATATATTTTATATATGACATAATTTTTCAATCATACATATATGATTAAATATGGAATCCAACAACTTTTAAAATTAAAATTCGCAATGATGATCGTGTTGCAATAAGAGTTTACATTTAAATTCGTGTTGAGTAGACGTGTTTTTATAATTTTTTTTCAAGTCAGCATAAATAAATACATTAAAAGGTTTAGGAAAATTTATTTGGCAGAGTAAACAACAAGTCATATAATATTAAATATGATATTTGTTTAAATTAAAAGTTAGAATTTGATTTAAAAATTTGAAAATTTCTAAATTTTTTTATTTTCGAATAAAGTTTTATATTAAATATTTAACTTCTTGTCTAATGGCTTTTTAATTGGTATTTTTTGTCCAATTTCTAGTTTTTCAAAAAACTTTTTTCTTCTTCACATTTTTTTTTATTCTTTTGGATTTTGGTAAATTTGGAATTACAGATTACAGTCGTATAAGTTATGCTTCTCCATCAATCGCGCAGAAGCTCGCCGCCAAGACCCGCCGAGATCCGCCGGGTTTAGAGTTTTCCCGGACAATTCTTCACCAATTCCGACCGTCTCTCTCTCTGTGAATCCCTCTTCCACTGGTATGTACATCTGATTCTGAAAGCTCTTCCTTTCTATCCTCCTCCTCTACTTTTCCCAGTTCGCGTAGCGATTTAAGGATTTAGAACAAAAAAATCGATATCGGTTCCGTAATTTTGTTGTTGGGGGCTAATGAATTTTATCGACAGGGAAGCTTTTTTTCTGCCTTTCTTTTTTTTTCCGGGCACTTGTTGGAGTTTACAAATCGTTCAAGAAATTTTTCATGTTCAAGCGACATTGACTACAAGGTGTTCGGCGAAATGCTTCAACAAAACGTTAACCTTTCGTGGGCAAAACATCATTTTAGATTTGGTATCGAGACGGGTTTCCATGGATTTGTTCTTCATCTGTCTTAAAACTATACATTTAGATAGTCAAAAGTCAAGACTCGGACTTAAGTTTCTTCAATCATGTTTGTTGGCATGCTGCTTTGTGGATTGCCCGGAAATCTGGGTTTATGCATTTCCTTTCGCAAAACCGAAAGCTTTTCACTTTAGTTGAAATCGAAGGTAAACTGAAATTCCCATTGAGAAATGGTTTGGCTTGAGCGTCTGATACGTTCATTCATGTCTGCAAATGGGTAACCCATAAAGAATGCCCAGAAAG